GTATCTGCAGTAGTACTTCCCGCTCTCTCGCTGGTGTTTTGTCTCTCTCTCTTTGGGCTCTCTCTCTGACTCCCTGAAGGACAATGCAGACTGACACTCCATTATAAACATCATAATCACAGCTGGCTCCGATGCTGCGCCACAACAAGTAATTGGACTCAAGCTGCTCCGCCTGGTTAACACACACACACACACACACACGGACACACACACACACGGACACACAACAGGGGATACTTGCAAAGAGAAGTCCACAGTGTGTCTTTGATAACAATGTGATGCTATAAATGAGCCCTTATGGTTCTGAACAGACCATGTGTGTTTCTCCGATGCTAACCGTTAGAACTAAACATTAGCAGGCAGCGTTCCGGATTCATGTCTTCCTGAAAATGTGAGACAGGCTTCTTCTCTGACAATGTTCAAATCCAGGTGAAAAAAGTTCTGTTTCTCTGTGTTATTTTATCTGAATCTTAACTCGTTTTAGTGCACTGTTTATTATTATACTGTTTCTTTGAGTTCACCATTTCATACTTGTTGTTATTATGCTAAAGTTAGAGCGATTTTTATTTGAGTACAGAGTAGTTTGTTTATTGTGTGCTCCTCTGTAACTTCTGATGCACCACTGGAATTTCCCTACTGTGGCACAAGTAAAGGATCTCTTCATGTTTTTAATTTATTTTTTTACAGTTTTAAATCAACATAAATACAAACATAACACAAAAACCAGGAATAAATGCAAAAAACAAAATAAAGAAAAATAAATGAAAATAAATCTTGACATGTTAAATTGTTAAACCGGAGATTAATAAATAAAGGAAATAAAAAGTAAAATACAAATAAATTTAATAATGTTAGAATGCTAAACCAAACTCAAACTGAAGCAGAGACAGAAGCTAAAACACCAAAGATTTTTTACTTATTTTTTTATCCCAGTAAAGTCCAATGAAGTCTGTGCTCTTTTTATTGATGTATTAATGAATGTATATATTTCTGTATGTCCTGGTGCCGTGGGACATGGTGCAGCCGGAGCAGAGCGCTGACAACAGGACTCGGGGCCAGTCGTGGAATTTGAAAAGGTCATTAGCAAAAGGCTCTTTAAGCGACAGTGGAAGAATTTAACTTTAACATCAACATTCTAGGGCTGAAAATGATGGTTCTCGATCACTGGTGCGGAGTTTGATGGTTCATAAAGAAGCTGTAAACACTTCAGCAACGACAGGTTAATGCACAGATGTTTTTGTGTCTCTCTCTAGTTTCTTTCTGGTCTCTCTCTGGTTTCTCTCTGGTCTCTCCCTGGTCTCTCTCTCTGGTTTCTCTCTGGTCTCTCTCTGGTTTCTCTCTGGTCTCTCTCTGGTCTCTCTCTGGTCTCTCCCTCTGGTTTCTCTCTGGTCTCTCTCTGGTCTCTCTCTGGTTTCTCTCTGGTCTCTCTCTGGTTTCTCTCTGGTCTCTCTCTGGTCTCTCTCTGGTCTCTCTCTGGTCTCTCTCTGGTCTCTCTCTCTGGTCTCTCTCTGGTCTCTCGCTCTGGTCTCTCTCTGGTCTTTCCCTCTGGTTCCTCTCTGGTCTCTCTCTGGTCTTTCCCTCTGGTTTCTCTCTGGTCTCTCTCTGGTCTCTCGCTCTGGTCTCTCTCGCTGGTCTCTCTCTTGTCTCTCCCTGGTCTCTCCCTCTGGTCTCTCTCTGGTCTCTCTCTCTGGTCTCTCTGGTCTCTCTCTGGTCTCTCTGGTCTCTCTCCGGTCTCTCTCTGGCCTCTCTCTGGTCTCTCTCTGGTCTCTCTCTCTGGTCTCTCCCTGGTCTCTCCCTGGTCTCTCTCTGGTCTCTCTCTGGTCTCTCTCTTGTCTCTCCCTGGTCTCTCTCTGGTCTCTCTCTCTGGTCTCTCTCTGGTCTCTCTCTGGTCTCTCTCTCTGGTCTCTCCCTGGTCTCTCCCTGGTCTATCTCTGGTCTCTCTCTGGTCTCTCTCTTGTCTCTCCCTGGTCTCTCTCCCTGGTCTCTCTCTGGTCTCTCTCTGGTCTCTCTCTCTAGTCTTTCCGAGTGGGGGAACAAGTATGAAAGGTCAAAAATACTTCCTATTTATAACTCCCTGAGCTACCACCAGAGGGCGGTTGAGAATTATTATTATTTTTTTTTTTTTTTCAAATCTGAAAACTACCAGCTGCACACACTTTCACACACCTGAGAAATTGGCAAAAACTAATGAATGAGCACCAGTTTTGTTTTAAAAGCCTGAAAACTGCTGTAAGTGTGATGTCATAGTGGTACCATGACATCATAATAGAGGCGGAGTTAAATAATGTTACCGTGGATAGATCTAAAAACAAAAAACAATCGTGTAAAGTGGTTAAAGGAGGGAACAATATAATTAGCATAATGTGTCTTCTATATGTAAAATATACATTGTACAAATTTAACTCATCGGCGGCGTTCGAAGGCGCGCAAAACTATCTCCATGGCAACAAGCGAAAGCCGGACCCCACGCGAAAAGTTGCATAGATCACCTTTAAAGTCCGCCACATCCATTAGCATTCTCAACACCTCCGTCTCCGGCACAGAACCAGTCCATAACAACAATCGCGGCTTATTCCATCAACGCTTTATGAGATATTGTCTTGTAAATCAAAAAAAACGTCTCTCTCCCGCCGCGGATCCCAAAGCCGTTTGCCGGTCAATTTGGCGAGAGAGCGAAACTCACTCCGATTCAATCAAGCACAAATCAAAACGCGAGGGGGAAAAATACATCTGATAGAAGCCGGCTCGCCACGCTTCCCGGTGCTGTCGGCGTACGGTTGGTATTCCGGAGACTAAAAGAGCTCATTTATACACCACAAAGGGATTGGTGGAAATGGGGCGATTGTGAGTGAGATGTGGGGAAGTAGAAGAAGAAGAAACGAGGAAGTAGAAGAAGAAGAAACGAGGAAGTAGTTCTAGACCGGCTTTAGTCCATGTTTCGATGGGTTTTACGGCAACGATCGGCTCCCGGTTGGCTCTGTATCCGACATGTAGATGTGAGTTTTGGTGGATTTGGCCGACTCCGGAGCGGCTCAGTGGAATCTACGGAAGCGAGTGCGATCGTCCGAGGATAAAAAAAAGGATTTAGTGATTTGGTGTTGGTCAGAGGTGAGATGGACGCTCTTTAAAGTTTGTTAGCTTATTCCGTGGTTCAAAGGTGGAACACGGTTTGCCTTTCATGGACTCGCTCTGGTCTCTCGGTGGTCTCTTTCCTGGTCTTTCTTCGGTCTCTCTCTCCTGACTCTGTCTGGTCTCTGTTTTTGGTCTCTCTCTGGTCTCTCTTTTTGATCTCTCTTTGGTCTCTCTCTGGTATCTCTCTTTCTGGTTTCTTTCTCTGGTCTCTCTCTGGTTTCTTTCTCTGGTCTCTCTCTGGTATCTCTCTCTGATCTCTCTCTCTGGTCTCTCTCTCTCTGGTTTCTTTCTCTGGTCTCTCTCTCTGGTCTCTCACTCTCTGGTTTCTTTCTCTGGTCTCTCACTCTGGTCTCTCACTCTCTGGTTTCTTTCTCTGGTCTCTCTCTGGTATCTCTCTCTGGTCTCTCTCTCTGGTCTCTCTCTGGTCTCTCTCTCTGGTCTCTCTCTCTCTGGTCTCTCTCTCTCTGGTCTCTCTCTCTCTGGTCTCTCACTCTGGTCTCTCACTCTCTGGTTTCTTTCTGGTATCTCTCTCTGGTCTCTCTCTCTGGTCTCTCTCTCTCTGGTCTCTCTCTCTCTGGTCTCTCTCTCTCTATCTGGTCTCTCTCTCTCTGGTCTCTCTCTCTGGTCTCTCTCTCTCTGGTCTCTCTCTCTCTGGTCTCTCTCTCTCTGGTCTCTCACTCTCTGGTTTCTTTCTGGTATCTCTCTCTGGTCTCTCTCTCTGGTCTCTCTCTCTGGTCTCTCTCTCTCTGGTCTCTCTCTCTCTGGTCTCTCTCTCTCTCTGGTCTCTCTCTCTCTGGTCTCTCTCTCTCTGGTCTCTCTCTCTCTGGTCTCTCTCTCTCTGGTCTCTCTCTCTCTGGTCTCTCTCTCTGGTCTCTCACTCCTGCTTTAGTCCTGCTTTAGTCCTGCTTTAGACCTGCTTTAGTCCTGCTTTAGTCCTGCTTTAGTCCTGCTTTAGTCCTGCTTTAGTCCTGCTTTAGACCTGCTTTAGACCTGCTTTAGTCCTGCTTTAGACCTGCTTTAGACCTGCTTTAGTCCTGCTTTAGACCTTCTTTAGTCCTGCTTTAGACCTGCTTTAGTCCTGCTTTAGACCTGCTTTAGTCCTGCTTTAGACCTGCTTTAGTCCTGCTTTAGACCTACTTTAGTCCTGCTTTAGACCTGCTTTAGTCCTGCTTTAGACCTGCTTTAGACCTGCTTTAGACCTGCTTTAGACCTGCTTTAGTCCTGCTTTAGACCTGCTTTAGACCCGATTCAGTTCAGACAAAAACAGTGTAAAAGTCATTTATTACATCACATGGTCATAATTTACTGTCACTGTTAAAAAGTATAAATACAATATAACTCTATTTCAGGGAGAAAGAGAGAGAGAGAGAGAGAGAGAGAGAGAGCGAGAGAGCGAGAGAGCGAGAGAGCGAGAGAGCGAGAGAGCGAGAGAGCGAGAGAGCGAGAGAGAGAGAGAGAGAGGTCTCTCCTGGTCCTGGTCTCTCCTGGTCTCTCCTGGTCTCTCTGGTCCTGGTCTCTCTGGTCCTGGTCTCTCTGGTCCTGGTCCTGGTCCTGGTCTCACTCAGGGTGCTCCTGTCTGGAGTGGACCATCAGGTCTCCTCTCTCACAGAACACCCTCCTGCAGATGAGACAGGTGAAGGTCTTGGTCTCTCTGGTCTCTCTGGTCTCTCCTGGTCTCTCCTGGTCTCTCTGGTCTCTCTGGTCCTGGTCCTGGTCCTGGTCTCACTCAGGGTGCTCCTGTCTGGAGTGGACCATCAGGTCTCCTCTCTCACAGAACACCCTCCTGCAGATGAGACAGGTGAAGGTCTTGGTCTCTCTGGTCTCTCTGGTCTCTCCTGGTCTCTCTGGTCCTGGTCCTGGTCCTGGTCTCACTCAGGGTGCTCCTGTCTGGAGTGGACCATCAGGTCTCCTCTCTCACAGAACACCCTCCTGCAGATGAGACAGGTGAAGGTCTTGGTCTTGGCGTGGGTCTTGGCGTGGGCCTTGAGGTGTGAGCGTTGGATGAACCCTTTGCCGCAGAGGTCACAGGTGAAAGGTCGGTCTCCCGTGTGGATGCGCAGGTGAGGGGTCAGCAGGGCCTTGGTGGTGAAGCCCCGATCACAGAAGGAGCAGCTGTAAGGTCGCTCCCCCGTGTGGTTCCTCAGGTGGGTTTTCAGGTGGTTCTGCCGGATGAACGTCTTCTCACAGAACGAACACTTGTGGGGACGCTGGCCGGTGTGTGTGATCATGTGACCCTGTGAGACATGTGACATCATCAACATGTGACCTGTGACATCATCAACATGTGACATGTGACATCATCAACATGAGACCCTGTGAGACATGTGACATCATCAACATGAGACCTGTGAGACATGTGACATCATCAACATGAGACCTGTGAGACATGTGACATCATCAACATGTGACATCATCAACATGAGACCTGTGAGACATGTGACATCATCAACATGAGACATCATCAACATGAGACCTGTGAGACATGTGACATCATCAACATGAGACCTGTGACATCATCAAGAGAGAGGAGCAAGAGAAAGAGGAGAGAGAGAAGAGAGAGAGACAGACAGATGAGAGAGAGACAGACAGATGAGAGAGAGACAGACAGATGAGAGAGAGACAGAGAGAGGAGAGAGACAGACAGATGAGAGAGAGACAGACAGATGAGAGAGAGACAGAGAGATGAGAGAGACAGAGAGATGAGAGAGAGGAGAGACAGATGAGAGAGAGACAGAGAGAGGAGAGACAGATGAGAGACAGACAGATGAGAGAGAGACAGAGAGAGGAGAGACAGATGAGAGACAGACAGATGAGAGAGAGACAGAGAGATGAGAGACAGATGAGAGAGAGACAGAGAGAGGAGAGAGACAGACAGATGAGAGAGAGACAGACAGATGAGAGAGACAGAGAGATGAGAGAGAGGAGAGACAGATGAGAGAGAGACAGAGAGAGGAGAGACAGATGAGAGACAGACAGATGAGAGAGAGACAGAGAGAGGAGAGACAGATGAGAGACAGACAGATGAGAGAGACAGAGATGAGAGACAGATGAGAGAGAGACAGAGAGATGAGAGAGAGACAGAGAGATGAGAGAATGACAGAAAGATGAGAGAGAGACAGAGAGATGAGAGAGAGACAGAGAGATGAGAGAATGACAGAGAGATGAGAGAATGACAGAGAGATGAGAGAGAGACAGAGAGATGAGAGAGAGACAGAGAGATGAGAGAGAGACAGACAGATGAGAGAGAGACAGAGATGAGAGAGATACAGAGGAGAGAGAGACAGAGATGAGAGAGAGACAGAGATGAGAGAGAGACAGAGAGATGAGAGAATGACAGAGAGATGAGAGAGAGACAGAGAGATGAGAGAGAGACAGAGAGATGAGAGAATGACAGAGAGATGAGAGAATGACAGAGAGATGAGAGAGAGACAGAGAGATGAGAGAGAGACAGAGAGATGAGAGAGAGACAGAGATGAGAGAGAGACAGAGATGAGAGAGATACAGAGGAGAGAGAGACAGAGATGAGAGAGAGACAGAGATGAGAGAGAGACAGAGAGATGAGAGAATGACAGAGAGATGAGAGAATGACAGAGAGATGAGAGAGAGACAGAGAGATGAGAGAGAGACAGAGATGAGAGAGAGACAGAGATGAGAGAGATACAGAGGAGAGAGAGACAGAGATGAGAGAGAGACAGAGATGAGAGAGAGACAGAGAGAGGAGAGTAAGTAAGTAAGTAAGTAAGTATTTATTTATATACCGCCTTTTCACTGCAGATCTGAGTCTCAAAGCGGTTTACAATTGTTATTTTTGGGCATTTGTCTCTCACTCCACACAGAGATGGGAGCGGGGCCAGTACAGGAGGCACATGCCTGAACTATTGGACATATTTTTAGTGGTAGGGGAAACCGGAGTACCCGGAGGAAACCTACGCAGACACGGGGAGAACATGCAAACTCCACTCAGAAAGGCCCTGGTCCGACCGGGATTCGAACCCAGGACCTTCTTGCTGAGAGGCGAGAGTGCTATCCACTCAGCCACCGTGCCGCTCAGGAGAGAGAGAGACAGAGATGAGAGACAGAGGAGAGAGAGACAGAGAGATGAGAGAGAGACAGAGAGAGATGAGAGAATGACAGAGAGATGAGAGAGAGACAGAGATGAGAGAGAGACAGAGATGAGAGAGAGACAGAGAGAGGAGAGAGAGAGACAGAGATGAGAGACAGAGGAGAGAGAGACAGAGAGATGAGAGAGAGACAGAGATGAGAGACAGAGAGATGAGAGAGAGACAGAGATGAGAGACAGAGGAGAGAGAGACAGAGAGATGAGAGAGAGACAGAGATGAGAGACAGAGAGATGAGAGAGAGACAGAGATGAGAGAGAGACAGAGGAGAGAGAGACAGAGATGAGAGAGTGACAGAAGAGAGAGAGACAGAGATGAGAGAGACAGAGGAGAGAGAAGACAGAGAGATGAGAGAGAGACAGAGATGAGAGACAGAGAGATGAGAGAGAGACAGAGATGAGAGAGAGACAGAGGAGAGAGAGACAGAGATGAGAGAGTGACAGAAGAGAGAGAGACAGAGATGAGAGAGACAGAGATGAGAGAGAGACAGAGAGAGGAGAGAGAGACAGGAGAGAGAGACAGAGATGAGAGAGAGACAGATGAGAGACAGAGGAGATAGAGACAGAGATGAGAGAGACAGAGATGAGAGAGAGACAGAGATGAGAGAGAGACAGAGATGAGAGAGAGACACAGAGGAGAGAGAGAGAGAGAGGAGAGAGAGAGAGAGATATGAGAGAGAGACAGAGAGATGAGAGAGAGACAGAGATGAGAGAGAGAGAGAGAGAGAGAGGAGAGAGAGACAGAGATGAGAGAGAGACAGAGGAGAGAGAGAGATATGAGAGATGAGAGAGAGACAGAGATGAGAGAGAGAGACAGAGATGAGAGAGAGACAGAGAGAGAGAGAGACACAGAGATGAGAGAGAGAGGAGATTTTATTTTTATTTTTAACAGACCTTTATTTATCCATTAAACAGGTCAAATGA